ATCTGAGGCAATCGACGGAAATGCGATATCATCCAAGCAGATTTGAGATAGTTCAATCCAAAGAAATCTGAGGTAACCCAAGGAAAACCGAGGCATTGCATGCCAATTTGAGTACTTGTGCAAGGGAGGCGCCTGTAGGCCAGAGTCCATACAACAAAAAATTTCATTTAGTACATGTAATACTATCAAGACCTGGACTTCTTGTTCTGTTTGCTTAATATGTTCCAAAATGGTTTGCAGTTTATCTAAAGTTGTTGGTTCAAATAAAAATATAATTTTGCAAAATAACATGGCGACATTTTCTTTCCCGTTCCAAGTAAAATTATTTTATCTCTGCTGTTTCCTACTCAATGATATACCAATACAGTTCATTTAAATAATTTCCTTGAGTTAGTGCCGCGATTTTTAAACACCCTATGCAAATGTGTTTTGAGGACGCTTGAACTTTTCGCAAACTGAAAATATCTCTAGCATGTTTGACATAGCCATCCCGATAAATTCATCACCTGTAACAACGTAATCGTCGCAGAGATCGTGATGTACATAATTTCTAGAATGTAAGTAAATGATCTGATAATTACTGATAATTGCGATCGGTGTTTCTATACGTTGTTGAAATACGCCAAATATGGACTACGTAGGTAGCAATCAAGTAGAATGTGTTAATGGAATTGGAAAGCACGCTCAAATATTTTGATAGCGTGAAATATGGCGACTAATAAAGCTTAAACTGAGCGAATTTCCAAAAATGGTTTAAAAATGGTGTTTGTAAATGAATCCTTTGGAATACAGTGACACATCTATATAGACTGGAATGTCATGTCCACAAAGAAGTGTTGAAACATATATTGGGTGCTTCCAAAACGTAGGGAAACGGTTATGAAGTGATTCTTTGAACAGCTCTTGGCGATTTTTGGAAAACCACCTTGTTTCGTTGACACAGATTGAACCAAATTCTGGAATATTAACAATTTTTATTAGAAAAGGTTGCATAAGGACCTTCGTAGCTCACAGCACTCATCTCAAGTATCTTGACGTTTAGGCAACACAGCCAATACCATCCGTTGGTTTCTTTTTTAAATTGGTATTACAAATACACTCTTCGATAATATAAAACACTCGATACTTTATTCAAAAGAATACACCTTCCGATTATCCATGAAAAACAATTTCAGTTAAATGGCTGCCGCGGCTGGCCTGGCAGTAGTCCATCCCCTTAACCCAATTTTTAAGCACATTTTCGATAGTTTGTGGGTCTATTTCATCAGGAGCTCGACGGATATTTTCCTAAAGAACACAAATTATTTGATGATCGTTAATGTAACAGCGGTCCTTAACAGTACCCGGTAGGAGGTAATCCATTGGGCGTCAAACCATAGCTGCGGGCTGGACAATGAACGTCTCCAAAACAGCTGATAACGCGATGACCGAACTTCGTGTGTAAAAGATCGATTGTTTCCCGGCTGGTCCGGCACGTTGCACCATCCTGCTGGAACCAGAGATGTACAAGTGCATGTCGTCTAATAGTGGCCACAGAAAAAAAAACTCCTCAACGTGTCTATATAGCGTTTCCCGTATCGATGTTACCATCTTCATCTTGAACAAAGTAGGGACCAATAATCCCACCACTCCAAAAGCCACACCAAACAGTTACTCTTTTTGGAGATGCATCCGTTTTTCTGTGACGACATGGGGATTTTCAGAACCCCAAATCCTACAGTTCAGTACAGATGGAAATGGGCTTCGTCCGAAAAGATGATTTGCCGACCAAAATTGACGTCCGTTTGAAATTGACTCAGAGCCCATACAGAGAAACGATATCGAAGCGGATGGTCATTTTGTTTCAACTCTTGCACACAGAAGTGCGACTGATGCCCACTTGTGCTCTGTGACGAGTTGACATTCTTGCGTTTTCACGCAACAGCAGCAAAGTTTTGGGCTGTACGGATTGAGCACGCTCATACCTTCTGTTATCCACAAGCAGGCCAGTTTCACGAACCTTCTTAGCAAAGTTTCTGCAACACAGCACTCACTTAGAAAATAGTTTTTCAATATTTCCCACCTTTGTTCAAGATTAAAACGACCCATTTCTCACAGCGGAAGTTTGACATAATATATCTGTAAATCTGTTGAGCATGGAAGTGTTATCATCTGTCAAAATAATACCAACTTACAAAGTGACAACTGTGACGATGAGATCGATATCCGTTTCATTTTGCAGTTACGTAATAAAGGTGTCGTTTAAGATCACCAAGTATAGTACCTCTATTAAGAATGCAAGAGTCTAATCTTATCATCATAGATCGGCACACGTCTTAAACACACCAGGGAAATCGTAGTATTTGATTTACAGTAGATGAGAAGAAAATTAAATGATTTAAAAGCTTGATATATGACGTTTGCCAGAAAGAGATATATCCGAAAAAATGTACACGCTGTATCTTCTCGATGCAGCGTTTTTTCGAAAATCGGTAGAGAACAATAGTTTAAATAATCAGGCTACGGAGTTTATTTGTGACACTTTCGATACAAAATCGATAATGAATAGAAACATACCTATTTTGCAACTATGGTTATAGTATGTCGTTGTATCCCTATTTTGTGCACTATTTCTCGGAATGGATGATGGACAGTGAAGAGGTTCACGATTATGTTGCGGTTGGCAAAATTTTATTAAAATCCCATTAATACCTTAATGGTAAGGTTAGCGTGCGGTGAATTAAAAAAATAAGGCAAATTATGCATCGCCCAGTTTTTTCAGACAAGCTTGGGAATGCCCTTTTACTGGAAATTAAACGGTATTCCTTCGAAGTTGTTGTCAAGTCACGTGACGACACGATTATTCCAAAACCGTATTTTTACCTCATATAACCTCGACATTAAAAAATAATTATAACTGTACACGCAACAAGGAGGCATCTGAATATGTTGCTGTCTTTAACTTTTCACAACAACATTTTTCATTATTGGCGCATACAGATGCGTGAGATGTGTCAGTGATTTTCGCTCTCGTAATTTCATCATGTTTTTATCTTGAATCTCATTTTATTTACTGTGTGTAAGAGTAGTTTCTATTGATGGATTTTTTGTAGGTACATGTCAACCAGAAATACTTTTCATATGAAAATAAGGGTTGCTAGACAGAGTGAGTGGAAAAACAATGCCAGTATTTCTATTTGAGAAAACACATTCAAAATAACATAGGAAGTACATAGGTCCTAAAATCATAAAATGTCAAACTTCAGTAACTCCGGTAGAAGTCTCGCGGATCTTACCTCAAATATACAAACCAATTTTTCTTCAAAACAACGCGACATGACGCGACGAAAAATGTTGAAGACAGGCCTTATGTAAAATTGAATACCTTATTCAAAAAATGCAATAGTTCCAAAAAGCCAGTAGTGTTAGTACGGATGTTACTTCAAGTATTCAAAGAAATTTTTCTTAGTGTAAAATCAGTTACTTTATCTAAAAAATACAATAGATGTTCAAGGAAATGGCGTCAAGTAGGTTGACTCTTCACTTCCTACGCAACGCTGTCATCAGTTATGGAGATTATGTTTGGCACAAGTTAGCCCCTCGGACACCTCGAGATGAACATGTATAACAAAAAATTAGGTAGGTCAAACACGGCCATACATCTAGCACACAGTCCCCGCCAATTTGATAACGCTGCGGTTTAGAAATTTTCCATTTGCGCTACAGCACTGGCCATCTAGCAACATTGCTACCACCAACCTCGCCACTCGCCTTCTTTGGCCGCTCAGAGATCGCGCGTTGAAAATATTTCTCTATCATTGTTCTAAGCGAAAACCTATGATGTGTGGAATATGTCTAATATGTGCGAGGTATTACAGAGGTTGGAAGTCTGTGAAAATATACTAAGACCAAACAATTCAGATACATCCCACCCAGCTCCTACTGGAGCAAAAATTATAAATTTTTTTTGGTCCCTGACATGGTAGTAACCTTGTGTGAAAATAACATCAAAATCGCAGCATAGTTTTCGAGTTAAAGACGGGCCAATGATTAGCAGACACATAGACGGTCAGACAGACTGGCGTAAATGAGTAACATGGTTTTTGATTATGTACAGGTGATATAACAACTAAAAAACATAATATTCCATATCCATATTCCATCTCGTCTGTGGATGAGAGGTAAAAGTCAATGGAAAAATACCATTTTCGTTTGTTCTTCTGCAGGGACCAACATGCCACAGCAGTGGTGTGTCTTGAGCCGTGGAGAATTTTGTATGTATCGGTTTTCTGTCTTTGATACAGGTAGGTGCACTTATTTAAGTTGACCATTTTATCCACTTCGAAGATAAATTTGACAGCTTGTATCTCCATAAAGGGACACACAGGGACTTACTTATAGCAATCAAAATGGTGTGTTTATATTACGCATTCTTATTTGTAAGTACAATATATAGTCAGTGACTTCCACATTCTCAAAACGAGGCTGCCGTTGAAGTCTGGCTAAAGTCGAGTTGCCGTCTGGGTGCTTTTGCTAAGAACAATGCCTTACTATCAACAGGAATGACACATAACAAAAGATACAAACTTATTCCCCAAATATGTGACCTCGGCTTGGGTCTCTATTTGATCTTAGGTGCTGGAAATATTACGTGTCGCTAATCGAATGAATGAATGAATTATGAAATTAGAGGCATACCGTCCACCATTAGGAGCCGGCATATAGGCCACTTGAATGGACCCTTATGCACCCCTACATACCCTAAGCGTCAAGTCCCTCCCTTCTAGCAAAGTTCTAGATTCGGGGGTTCAAAGTGATGTACCCCCGTATTAGAGTTGTCAAATATAGGTACATCTCTGTATTACAGGTACCGAGTAATACTATAAAAAGTACCCGTTACTTTGTACCCGGTACCGGTATTCTAGGTAAGATTCGATTTAGGTCATTGCAACGTTGCAAGCCAGTATCGGTAAAATAAAAACACTGGTACCGGATAACCGGGGGAACACAGACAGTGAGACAGCAGACATCGCTCGAATCGTGCGTCGCAATTAAAAATTCGCTGAATTTTAAATCTAATTGGGGTTATTGCAGAGTAAACGAATTTAGTATACTGATTGAAAAAAGTGATCGCTTCTCAGCTGACTTCAATATTAATGAATGTTATAGTGAAAACAATATTTTAAAATATTATGGCTCCTACACAAAAAAAGAGTGCGATTTGGTTGCATTTTACCGTGTAGTGGACAAAAGGCTAAATGCGATATATGCCGAATCGTTTATTCGTTTAAAGGAGGTACAACCGGTAATTTAAGGAAACATTTACGAATTAAACATCCTACAATTGTAATCGATGAAGAAACAGCTATACAAAAAGAGGAAAAGCAAGGTAAGACCAAAACTATATATAATGATCAGCCAATACAGGTATCTTCCGGAAATTTTAATATTAGGTGTAGGTTAACATCAAGATAAATAAGGCAAGAGCATGTTGGTTAATAAAACAAGACGTTTTTAACCAAACTAAACTAAAAATAGTTAGCTAAAAATGAAATAAAAACCATTCTTTAAAATGAAGTTTAAAAATCAAATAAAATTTTATATTTTGATAATTTGATGTTGAGTATGAATGTTAATAATTGATTTAAATATGCTTTACACAGTTGCCATTATCGACAATTTTTACTTATATTCACGTATTTTGAATAGATTTTTTTATCTAGACTGATTTATTGGTATTCGCAAAAATAAATCCGTATTGACCCGTCACTATTGATAAAGATGAATCTAATAAATATGTACCTACCGATTTTTCACACTTATCGTCTAGGTGTACGTGTACGTTATTTATAGTGGATTCCAAACAAAAACCGATGCACATCATCAGTCTTGAGCTGTGCATTGTTGCCAGACTTTGCACATTTTCTTTTAAGCAAATGAGTCATTTAATGAAATAAATTTGGCATTTGTATACTTTCCACTACTTCACACTAAATGTTGTTCTGAAAAGAACAATTTTTAGTTGCAAGGCAACGATTCAAAGCTTAAATAGCGCAAAACTCACAAATTAAACAATAAAGAACTAGTTCGACAAAAGGACAATGACAACTGATGTCAAAAAATAAGACACGGCAACTTCACATTTCTCTGAACGGCGCACCAACCGAATCGAGAACAGGAAATTTAAAATTCAAGTAGAAATTTCACTTTGAATGTAGTAAATTGTTGGGGACCATGCTTTTTATCAATTGCATCACTAATGACGTGCTTCGGATTTTGTTTGGTATCCACTGCTCAACACCCATTGTTTTATTTTTAGCGTATGATACAGCCCCGTTCACGTCATCAGAACCAAAGGCAAATAATAGCGACAGCATATTAACAAAATCAGATGTAAGTCCTGTTCCTGTTAAAAGGCAAAAACAAATGAATTTGTCAAAGTTCAGAGCCCATCCACTAAGTCTGTCAAGGCAGAAAGAAATAAATGAGCTTGTTTTAAACATGATCGTCAAAGACATGCAGCTATTTTCCATCGTTAGGGATAAAGGTTTTTTAGAACTCCTAAAAAGACTTGAACCTAGTTATAACCCTCCAAGTCGAAACACTTTTGTAACAACACTCTTAGAAGACAAATATGCACGTGCAAAAACAACTTTGAAGCTTATTTTAGAACAAGCAGAATTCATTACTGTTACAACTGACGGTTGGACATCTTCCGCAAATGAAAATTATATATCTGTAACGGTCTATTTTATAATAAAAAACTGGGAATTTGTGTAGGGTTTGTTGAGCTGTTTCAATTATTCCGAACGACATACAGCTCAAAATCTTTATGAACAACTTATGAACATTTTAACAGAGTGGGGAATATCAGAAAAAGTGGTTGCTATAGTAACAGATAACGCTGCTAATCAAGTGGCTGCAGTAAAATTGGGAAGTTGGGCACATATACCTTGTTTTGCTCATACATTAAATTTAGTAGTGCAAAATGGCCTTCAAGAAATTAAAGATATACGCCATAAAGTTAAGGCAGTTGTAGAATACTTCCACAGAAGTTCGCAGGCAAATTCAAAATTATTATCAACACAAACTAGGATGGATGCAAACAGCATTCCTTTAAAATTAAAAAACGACGTGTCCACTAGGTGGAACTCTTCATATTATATGTTTGAGCGGTTTTTAAAGTTAGAAGAATCTCTTACTATAACCATTGGATTACTACACAATCCCGTACAATTATTGTCCGAAGAAGAGTGGAGCATTTTAAAAGAAATTTGTCAAGTGCTAAAACCATTTGAACAAATAACAACTGAAATTAGGTCAGAAACACACGTAACAGTTTCCAAAATTATTATCATTGTCCGAGGCTTGATCGCGATTTTAAAAAGGTTTCAAAGCGAAATGTCTTTCGATATCACCAAACGCCTAATTGAGAATTTATTAGCGTCGTGTTTGACTCGTTTTGATAAATGCGAATATAATAGTATTTTGGCAAAACCATCGATTTTAGACCCGCGATTTAAAATAAAGGCATTTTCGCTTGAGCAAGCATATAAAAAAGCCAAGGACAAGTTACAGGATGAAACAGTAGCAATTATAAGAAAAAATGAAAGTGTTGCAGCCATAGATAGTGATTTAGATGTTACTATTATACAAAGTTCCGAAGATGATCAAAGCTTAAATAATTTAGTTTGGCATGAATTTGATTTATCGACGTCCACCATTGAAAAGCCAAGTCCACTGGCTACTGCAATAGCAGAAATACGAATGTATTTGGAAGAACCAAATATACCTAGAACAGAAAACACATTGTTATGGTGGAAGTCCAGGGAACTACTCTATCCCACCCTTGCCCCATTGGCAAAAAAATACTTGAGTATGGTAGCAACATCTGTTCCCAGTGAACGCGTCTTTTCGAAAGCTGGTCAGTTGATAACAGAAAGGCGTAATCGATTGAAATCGAAACATGTAGAAAAACTTATGTTCCTTAATTACAATCAACTACTAATAAATAAGTGAAGTGTTTAGATGTTTAGACTAGTTATTTACTTTTTCAATTAGATTTTGTAAACTTATTTTTCTGTTTTTTATAATAATATAAATATATATATATATATATATATTATATATATTTCTCTTATATATATGGTCTATATTTTAATTATTTATCTGTTTTCATAGAGGTTCTCATAAATAACATTTTGAGTTCCGCACACATTAAGTAGCAGCACGACAAACGACAACACCGCCTGCTCTCATCCGCCCGATCCTGCTTATCTGCGTATGCGTAGTACGTACGCAATGATGTATTCCTCATTTCTTTCCCACATTCTACAGCGCTACTAAATATCAATACCCAGTACCGATATCGTTTACCAATATCAATACCGATCTGATCGACGGCAACTGCAAACCTAAATTAATAAATACATAATAGGTACAAAAGTGACGGATACTTTTTTTACCGAATACCCAGGTACCGAGTACTTGGCCGAGTACCGGATATTTAATACCGGGTAGTTACAATATTGACATCACTACCCCGTATAGTCTGCATGTTGTAGCTCAGAGCCTCACAGCGACACAGAACATGCGCCGAGACTCTTTCTCAACTCCGTAGCGCTCACACATGCGACCTTCAGCAGGTGGCGCCTCAGCGTGTTATGGCCGGACAACAGTCCCATCAACAACCTAAGGTTTGCTCTATCCAAAGATAAGAAAAAGTGCCCATCCTTAAAACTGAGCCCTACGATGGGCTCCTTTGCGTGACGGAGATGTCTTGCAATCCACTTCTATATTTTCCTCTTTGCGCGGGCACACCTTGAGGCTGGCTCAGGACCAATGAGCTTGCTCGCTAATCTTGCGCGTACTTAGTGCCTTCATCGCAGCCTGGATGTCGAAGGAGATTGTTATCCTTCCCCTAGGCTCTTCTCGCTCCAAAATGCGGGATGCGGAAGCCAAAATCGCATAGACTTCCGTCGCTAATCGAGCTCGAGGTGTTTTTAGAAACTGTCTAATGGTGTGCTTCTCCAACACTTTGTAGCTTATGGGATAATTTGAACGTGATTGAACCTCTTGAATTCTGCATACACCAAGCTTCCAGGGTAGTTTTCTTTCGATGACTTGATCGAGTAAAGTTCATAAATGATAATTGGATGATATTTTCATATCACATGAAATGCGACAATGAAACCTAACAACGTTCTACCAATGTCCTTGGATTGGTGAATTACCATATCATCAGCATAACACTGAGAGCATGTTAAACAGTCTGGAGAATCTCAGACGTAGACGGCGCAGGGTTGTCAAGGTCAAGGGTGCTATTTGTTACCATCAACTACATCTCGCAGCAACTTAGAATAGGGATAGGATAGCGTACTTTCATTATTTATAATGGCATTATATGCATACACGCCTGCAGAGTTTTATGGACTCCTTTAATGACGTATTAAATCAAACGCCGTCAAAAGTTACCAGGTCTAAATGCATCATAGCGATTGTCATTCTCGTTACGATCGAGATTTATGGTTAGCGATTTCGAATTATTATGACTGTCATTATATATAGATATTGGATTGCTGAATAAAATTAACCAACATATAGGAAAGTGATGAAGTCAAATGGATAGATTCCTTCAAAACCCGGTTCAGTTGATTGTTTTTATATTTTTTACTTCCCACGTGAAAAGACGAGTGAGTGTTGTGGTCGCAAAGTTTTCGAAAACGAGATATTATGTTTTTTGGATGTTTCTTGGCATGTCCATCACTAACAACCATGTCACTCATTTCTATCACTTTAATCTGTCTGTATGTCCGCCAATCCGGTACCTCTCGATATAATTAAAAAGTACAGCTCGAACTTTGATAAAATTTTGACTCAAGAGACTAAAAAGCATTGGAGGTTTTGTTGACAATATTGGGTCAACCTACTTGACATTATATTTTTCTTTTAAAACAGGCTATCTGTTTAAAGTTGCTTGCTTGGATCCTTCATTCAAAATAGTATCAGGTTTTTCGATGTTACTCGATCTCTTCTAATTTTAACTTTTATCTCAGGATTTTTCTGTGCCGGAAACAATTCGGTTCATTTGCATCATCTCTCCGCATGGAGTGTATGTTGCACCGCAGCGCTATACCAAAGATTGCTTCAAACGCATATTTTATCAAAATCGATACCGTTACTTCGTTAGTTATTGGAAGTTTATTGTCTTCTATAGAGCCGATGACCCAGGAGATACAAAAACTGGTATTTAGTTGGTATAAATATACGGAGGCCTATATTAAAAGCACCAGAAGATCTCTATAGGAACAATACAGAGTGTTTCAGAAACACGTGCCAATATTTCTAAGGTAGAAAGTACATCCGAAAATTACAAAAAGAAGTTCCTATAACTGTGAGCTCAAACATGCTCCCCTAGTGATGACGCTTTATTCACGAAATTGAAAAAAATGTATATCCGGAACGGGTGAAGATACTGAGTTAAAATTTTAGACGGTCATAAGCAACATCAACGCGGAGATTGCTGGCCCAAACTAAACCAGGGTCGTAGCATCTGGGGTACTTAGACACCTAATAGGAAATATTTTCACTGTCCGCTGGTCTTTTTGGAGAAAATGTGCATTTTATAAAAAAAAGTTCAATTTTCCATAAATTTTGTCTCTTAAGAAATGTTTGTCAGATCACTCGTTTTGGACATCTTTGGGTTTGAAAATTTAAGCTAAAATACTAAAATATTTTTATAAAAAGGTTTATTCTTCCCTATTCTGAAAACACCGTGAAGCTTTATGTTGTAAACACTGTACGGCATGTGAATGGAATCTCTTTACAAGATTATTTGAATATTATGCGTGAATGCCTTTAATATCCTCAATTAGTAGCGTATGAAGTTATCATTCATGTGTTGAAAGCGTTCTGTATACTGAATCCGAAATGCTAAAGAATTTTGAAAAAAAACTCCGATAATGTCAGAAGTAAAATAATTACAATTTTACTTAAATTAATTGATTTAAAATTACTAGTTGACATTTTAGATAAACAGTTGGTATACCATGAAAACTAGGAGTTTGTAAAGACAAGATTTGACGAATGGTAAGCTTCTTCGTTACTGATTGAGGATAAGATATGAATATCATCCAATGAAGGTTATAGTAAGGTATCATAGCTTTCATCACAAGCCATATAGTGTTTCCAATATCAAGCTTCACGGTTTTTCCAGAACAGGGGAGGCAGAACATTTGCATAAGAATATTTTACGATATTACATCATATGTTCAAACCTGAATATCTCCAAAACGAGTGATCTCGACAAAAAATCCTTAAGAGATAAAATTAATGGCCGAAAAGGCCAGAGGCGAAGAAAATATTTCCTATTAGTGGCACAGGTAAACAGTCTCTACGTTCCTGGATTAGTTTGAGCCGAGGAACTCTGTGTCTTTATTGGTGATGATGAGCTCACTAACGGTCTAGAATCCTAACTCAGTATCTTCACCCCGCACATATATTTTTTGAACTTCTTAAATATAACTTCATGACCCTATATCTCTGTAGAGGAGCATCTTTGTACCCATATTTAAGGCAACGTTTTTTGTTACTTTTGGATGTACTATCTATCCTACAAATATTGACACGTCTCCCTGACGCACCCCGTATAGCTGTCGAAAAACGTTTCTTCGACAACCGACTAAAAAAGTACATGTTACCGTTAATAGGCTGACATGCAAAATACTCAGCAGAAACGTTATGGCGAATAGCTTTCGGCCATTTTTTCGATTTAGTATGTTATAGAACAAACCTGTACATGGGCCCA